CTCACGCAAGAGTAGTACCGGACTCTACATCTTTCGACCAGGTACACACCTACTACTACTATTAATATGTCCCCTTATCAAAACGCGATTATCATTATCATTATCATCATTTCTCTTCCCTCGCATTTATTTATTGATTAAATCATAAGACATTGGATGATTGATACACGTGGATTTTGACGTTGTTTTTCTTTTCTCTCTCTCTCTCTTTCTCTCTTTCTCTCTTTCTTTCTGAATATTTACGATTTTGCATTTTGGCGAAAGATTTATGCTTGAATGTTTTATTGCTTTTTTTTCTTTCTCTTTTTTTTTTTTAAAGCAGAAGAAAGGGAAGAAAAATTAAAAAAAATGGAATCGACACTTTGGCAATCTTTGATACGATTTTTAAATTGAAAAGAGTATATATAACCTTATTTCTTTTCAGGTTTTCGTTCGTATTTGTCCGTGTGTGTGTGTGTGCGTGTGCGTGCGTGCGTGTTTGTGAAGGGATGATAACAAATGTTTGATTGGGGATTTTCTTTTGTGTGTCTCCTTACACGAATCGATATTCGAATTTTTTGAATTTAAAAAAAAAAAAAAAATTATTATTATAATGACGTGGAACAACACCTGTTATGAATGAAACAAAAAAAAAAAAAAAGGATTTACGACCCGTCCGTCCGTACGTACGTACAGGTACAGGTACACAGGTACCTAAAATTATTCGTTGGAAAAATTTTACAAAGTTTCATTTTGGTCTGCACAAATGAAAAAATTAAAATTAAAGAAGGAAACAAAAAAAATTTTTTTTTTTTTTTTACAACGTACTCTCTCGTGTATATACTTTAACAAAAAAAAAAAAAACGGATGAGAAAAATAGAAAATAATGAATTACGCGGAGAGAGAGAAAGAGAGAGAGAGAGAGAGAGAGAGATAGAGGGGGAGAGAGAGGGGGGGAGAGAGAGAGAGGTGTACGAGAAAAAAAAAAAAGATGGAGATTTTAAAAATGTGGTCTCCTCTCGCGTTCCAATGGAATGATGTAATCAAATCGTGCATTTCATTTTAGATTTGTACCTACCTGCACAGGTTCATCATTACAAATGTTTTTCTCTCTCTCTCTCTCTCCACTCGAGAGGAGTAAAAATGAAATGAAATGAAAAAAAAAGCAGAAGAAAAAGAAGGAGGAGTAATGAAAATTAAAAAAAAAAAATAATAATGATAATAATAATAATGATAAAAAAAAAATAGAATTGGGTTGGTTTATTATTGTTTTAACCCCGGTAATTTTTTAATGCGAGAAATAATTTCGACGGAGGGTGTAATGGGTTGTTTTCTTTTTTTTTCGGGGGTGGGGTGGGGGTAGGGGTGGAAGGAGGATTATAAGTTGGAAATAACCGAACTAAGTATATTACTACACGCACACGAAAAAACGTAATCACACACACGCGTGTAAAAAAAATATTACACTCGATTACTTTTTTATTATTTTTTTTATTAAATTAACGATTTAGAAATGCGCGGTCGGTGCCGGTATACAATCAGGTAGAGGTAGGATACAATCAGGTATGATTCACGGGAAAGGTCGTTAGCACGCATTTATTATTTTTTTTTTAAATGTAGAAAACGGAAATCGATTCAAGTTCGATCTGTTTATCAATCAGTTTAAATTTTCGTAATTTTGCTTTTGTCAACGAACAACCGGAAGAAGAAAAAAAATTGGGGGGGGGTGGAAAAAGGAGGGGGTGGAAAAGAGAAATAATTTCAAATTTTTAAATTCGCGAACGTTTTTTTCGTTTTTCGTTTTTTTATTCTTTCGTACAAATTAAATAAAGTCGTTTTTTTTTATATTGGATTGTTTTGATCACGAGGATGAATTTTAAAAGGGCCTAAAGGGGGGGGCGTGTTTTCCCCATCCCTCCCTCCCTCCCCTCAAAAAAAAATCGTGACGAGGTGGCTCCATGTGCCGGATAATAATGATTGTTTGTAAGACGTCACGCACATTCCATATTGTCTACTTATTACATTCTACTAGGTATACTCATACCTAATCAAAGTATTATTTTTTTTGTTTTTAAAACCAGGCATATCGAACCTGTATGGTACGGTGCGTTGTTTGCCGTTTGCGTTTGTAATATCGGACGTAAATTTTGGATCATTCTTTTATTGTTATTGTTTTCTCTCTCTCGTTGAGTTTGACATCTCGTCGGCGCCTTCCAGATTATAATTAAGAGTTCCCCCCTTCCCCCTTCTTTCCCTTTCCCAGTTTTTTGTTTTTTGTTTTTTCCGTTACAAAACGACGACGTTAAACTCGAATAAAAATAAATTTTACGTTAGTGTAATTTGACACTTTTTTTAAACAATATGTTTCGTCGGTTTCATGGATTAAAAAAAAAAAAAAAAAAGAAGAAAAAGTGTTCAACCAGACGCATTTACTACTCCCATGTGAAAGAACAAATTATAAGAATTATTCGAGTAGAAGAAGAAGAAGAAAACCGCAACGACAACAACAACAACAACAACAACAAACAGAAAACAAAAACTTTTTTTTTTAAAAAAGTTTTTCTTTAAAACAACAATAACAATAGCAAAAGGATAATTTAAAAAAAAAAATTAGGGGATGATGATGATGAGAAGAAGAAGAAGGAGGAGGAGGAGGAGGTGGTGCGGTTTTAACGGGACAAACCGATGAGACATTATTTTTCATTTTCGTTTCCGGTTGATGGATAATATTGACCAAAACGTGAATTATTGGAAAAAAGGATTTACAAAAAAATGAAAATTTATATACGCAAAAAAAGAGGAAGTGGATGGAATTCAAGAAGAAAAATGAGAAAGAGAGAGAGGGAGAGAAACAGAGATAAAGAGAGAGAGAGAGAGAGACAGAGATAGAGAGAGAGAGAGAGAAACAGAGATAGAGAGAGAGAGAGAGAGAGAGAGAGAGAGAAACACAGAGAGCGAGAGAGAGAGACAGAAAAAAACGCGGGGAGGAAGGGGGAATCGATTCCCATCGTGACAAAAGAGTGCGTGATACCTAAACACCTAAAACGAAACGTACTGCGTAAAAAATAATAATAATAATGATAACGTTGATGGAATCAACAAACGACGAAATGTTTTGTGGTTGTGCCGATCGATCCGAAGAAGAAGAAGCAGAAGAAAAAGAGTCGAAACGTTTTTTTTTTTTTTTTTCCTTTTCCCCATCACGAATGAGAAAAAAAAAATTAAAATTTTAATTTTGTATAATTTTAAATTCAGACTTGAATGCGCGTCGTTAATTCAGGTTCGGAACCTGAAATTTTTTTTTTTCCTTTCTCGAAAGCGTTGAGCTTGACTTATTCTTGTGGGAACTTATTTGAAACGTCCGAGAACCTTTTTGCACTTAATGAAAAAAAAAATGTATGGTTTTTAGTGAATTTCATTATTATTATTATCATTATTATTATTATTATTATTATTGTTTTCATTCATTTTAATAAGGATTAATTATTAGAAGAGAGAAGAAGAAGAAGAAGGAAAACTCGGCGGTAGACAGAATTTGAAAAAGGAAAAAAAAAATTTTTTTTTTTCTTTTCTTTTCTTTTCTTTTCATTAAAAATTCAAACTCGTTTTGAGTTTATTGTGTTTCCTGTAATTGTTTTTCACGGTGAGAATTTGAATTTTTTTTAAATTTTATTTTCGGTGTAAAACGCACGAAAGGTGGGGAGGCGTGGGGGAAAAGGGGGGAAGGGAGGGGGAAAACACACAAAAAACAAAAAAAAAACGAAAAGAAAAAAAAATTGGTTTGAATGAATTTTTTTATTTTTTTATTTTCCCCAATTCTTTGTGATTTTAATATTTTATTATTATTATCATTATCATTATTATTATTATTAATATTATTATTATTATTATTAGTGCTTACTCCTGGAGGATTTTGGCCGTTACGATTGGTCGAAAACAATTTTTAATTATTTAAATATCATCGTTAAAAAAATCCGAATACGAGAGTACAATAAAAAAATTTTTTTATTTTCTTCTCTCTCGTTCGTGTTGTGGTGAAAGTTTAAACGATTGAATTCTCTCTCTCTGTCTCTCTCTCTCTCTCTCTCGTAAATGAAATAATAATAATAATAATAATAATAATAATGACGAAACGTAAAATCAACAAACATGGATAAAATTTGTTGTTGGTATTGAAGACGTTACGCAATTTACCATATCTTTTGCTAGAAAATAAAAGAAAGTGTTTTCTTCACACTTGGAAAAAACGAAAAGAATAGAATATTAATCTTAAACGTCGGATTTTTTTTCGAATTTATGGAAAGTAGATTTTGTATGTAGTAGATTTGTTGTTGTTGCGGTGGTGGTGGTGGTGGTGGTGAGGACGAAGAGAGAGAAGAAGTGAGCTGGAGAAAGAAAATAAAAAAAAAACTAAAAGTCGAAAGTGAATTAATTCGTTTAAATAGTTGTATTTGAATATTTTCACTTTTGATACCTTTGGGTTATTTACTTTTTGATTATGCGTCATACGTACGTTGTTATCACTTTATCAAATTCTAGAAATTTCTACGCAGGAAACGTGCACTGGAAAAAAAATTAAAACACAAACAAATAAGCAAGCAAGCAAACGTCGTTAAAAACTTCCAGTTTCAAATTTATAAGAATTTAAAAAAAAATGATAATAATAATCATTATAAAATGATTTTAATCGTTTTTGAAAAGAGTTTTATTATTATTATTATTATTGTTAATGCCGCGGTGTAATTTTGGAACCTCTTGACGTCTGGATACCAGAGAGAGAGAGAGAGAGAGAGGTATCAATGAGTTATAAAATACTCGGGTTTTTTTTTTTTTCAACGGAGTTTCTACCGAGAAAATCTTTTCCAAAAAAAAAAAATTTCGAATCGGTGCCCCCCTCCCCCTTATTCTTCACACGATTAAGTTTGTGATTTTGCATTTGTAACACGAGGTACTACGAAGTACGAAATCGTGACGGATCACTTTATTATTATTATTATCACACGGCGTCCTGTGACCGCAGAATGACTGACTATAGTCACTCACTCACTCACGTGTGAATTATTCGAAATGTTTTATTTTATATTTTCAGAATGGCGAAAGAATCATATGGGAGACTCATCAAGTCACTCTATCTAGAGTTCCTGGATACGGTTTTGGAATTGCCGTTTCCGGCGGTCGGGATAATCCGCATTTTGCCAACGGTGATCCATCGATTGCCATATCGGACGTTCTCAAAGCGGGACCCGCCGAGGGAAAACTCATGTAATTATCATCATCATTAGTATTCGCCGATGATGATGATGATGATGATGATTTTAATTGTTGAAAATTTTGTTTGTTAATTTCCAGGGTTAACGATTGCATCATAAGTGCAAATGGGATATCCCTGGAAAATGTCGAATATGCGAGAGCCGTACAAGTTTTGAGGGATTCGGGTCACACGGTCGCGCTCACAGTTCGAAGAAAAATAATTCTTCCGGCTCCTCAGCCACACACTCTAAGAGTTCAACTCAATAAAACTAAAAAAAAAGATGGTGAGTGTCTGCCTCTCTTCTTATTTTCAGTTTTAGTTTTTTTTGACTTGGAAATCAATTCTGGTTTCCTCGTGTAATTTTGCGGTTGTCAAAATGTGAGAGAGAAAAAAAAAAATTCAATTTCAAATTTTTTTCATCGATTATGGTTGGTCGGTTGTTGGTTTTTGCAAATACCTTATTATTATCATTACAGATTTCGGTTTAGTCCTCGGTTGTAGGATTTACGTTCGGGAATTCACGAGGCAGGACAAGGAAAATTCCGTTCAAGAAGGTGACGTCCTATTGAAAATAAACAATCACAGCACGGACGGTTTGTCGTTGAAGGAAGCGAGGAAATTAATTGAAAACACAAAAGAGAAACTTAGTTTGGTCGTGAAAAGGGAAAGGAGGCCGGGATCGGGACCGGGACCGGGATCGGGACAGCAGGAAAATGCAACGAATAATAATACCAAAGGTATTACATAATAATTTTATTCGGGAACGTTAATATTAAACAACAAGGATAGAAAAAAATATGATGTTTAAATATCCTTACAGATTCTCAAGGGAATTATCTGGAAAATTTTTCTGGTGCCAATTACCCGACACAAAATTTATACGTTCAACCACCCACGCGTCACGCTCACCAACAACATTTCGACGATAAAAGCAATTTAGCACCTCGCGGCCGATCGCGGGGTCCCCTTTTAAACGACGTCAGCCTGAGTCAATTGGACAGACCCTCGACCCCTCAAAACTCGGCCGGAAATCATCATGCACATAGCAGGTCGAGGAGCGGTCTCGAAGAACCCCCGAGACCTCCACCGCCAAGAACCGAAGGTGATGATTATTTATTTATTTATTTTTTTATTAATAAAAATTAACGTGACGTCATTTTTCCTTTTTTCCTTTTTTGCAGACTATTACAGCAGTCGGAGGCAATTGTACGAGGATGATTTACTTCGTTCTAAACATCCTGTGTGAGTAATAAAAAAATTTTTTGCTCGAAGCAACAAAAAAAAAAAAAGTCAAAGTCAATAATAATGGTTATTGTAAATATTTATTTTTTTCCTTCTTATTCTTTTTATTCTTGTTAAAAGGCCCGATCCACGGTTTATATCATTCCAAAAAGACGGTTCCGTAGGGATTCGTTTAACTGGAGGAAATGAATCTGGAATATTTGTTACCGCCGTTCAACCTGGAAGTCCTGCTTCCCTACAAGGACTTCAACCCGGAGATAAAATATTAAAGGTTTGAACCGATCCTGGCTTCTTTTTCTTTTGGGAAAATTTTTTGTTAATTTTTTTTTGGTTCCGGTTAGGTTAATGACATGGACATGAAAGGTGTCACGCGTGAGGAAGCCGTTTTATTTTTGCTGAGCCTTCAAGACCAAATTGATCTCATTGTACAGCACAGAATGGACGAATACGAACAAGTCGTACAATCTCAAAGGGGAGATTCATTTTACGTAAAGTGAGTTTTTAATAATAATAATAATAATCAGAAGACGATTATTATTATTATTATTATTTTTAAGGCATTACTCCATTTTGTTGTTATGAATTTTTTTAGAGCGCATTTCAATTACGATCAACCGAACAAGGGAGAAATGTGTTTTAGAAAAGGTGACGTGTTTCGAGTTGTCGACACTTTACACAATGGCGTCGTAGGATCGTGGCAAGTTTTTAGAATAGGTATACAAAGGTTTTTTCAAATTTGTTTTTTATAAATTTATTTTAACAATAATGAATAATGAATAATACGTATTAAAAATTAAAGGTCGAAATAATCAAGAAGTTCAAAAGGGAATAATTCCGAATAAGGCAAGAGCTGAAGAATTGGCGACGGCGCAATTTAATGCCACGAAAAAAGAATTGTCGGCATCGGAAAGTCGTGGAAGTTTTTTCAGGAGACGACGAAACAGTCACAGACGTTCGAAATCTCTCAGCAGGGTAAAACAGATAAGAAAACAAAAGAATTTTCTTTTTTTTTTTATATTTAAAATATTTTTAACTGTTTTTTTTTGTCATTTAAAAAAAAGGATCACTGGGACGACGTCGTGTTTTCCGACAGCATAAGTAAATTTCCGGCATACGAAAGAGTTTTCCTTCGTCATCCGGGATTTATAAGGCCGGTCGTGCTTTTCGGTCCCGTCGCGGACATTGCCAGAGATAAAATATTGAAAGATTTTCCAGATAAATTCACGTCTCCCCGTAGGTTTTTCTTTTTTTTTTTTTTTTTCTGTCGTTAATTGGAAGGGTGGTAAAAATATTGATGGTTAACGGGGAAATTTTTTGTTGTTGTTCAGAACTCGATAACAACATGGAAGATGCGCCGAAAAGTCAAAAATCATCTGGAATAATACGTTTGTCGGCCATAAGGGAAATCATGGACAGGGGAAAACACGCTCTGCTGGACATAACTCCGAACGCCGTGGATCGTTTGAATTACGCTCAATTTTATCCCATCGTCATTTTCCTAAAAGCGGAAACGAAACACGTCATCAAAGAGCTTAGATCGGCCGTGTCCAAGTAAGTCGTGTGTGTGTGTGTGTGAACGCACTCACGCCCACGCACACATTTCAATTATTAATTAATTAATTAATTACTATAAATTTATAAAAAATAATTCTTATTTATTTTTTGCAAGTACTGCATTCGGCTTCTTAAACTGGTGAGTAAACAACAACAAAAAAAAAAAAAAAAAAACAATAAGAAAGCAAATTAAAAAAAAAAAAAAAAAAAAAAAGAAAAGAAAAGATAGGAAAAGGTTTCGAGGATTTAATAATATTATTAATAATAATAATAATAATAATAAAGGGTTGTTTTGTGTATTGACGAAAAAAAAACTGAAAATCAGTGTGCGGTGGGAAGGGAAAAAGTGCTAAAGGAAAAAAGAGGGAATTGGGGGCAATGTGGACGATGAATTTTTTTTTTTTGAGTGAGTGAGAGATCTTTTTTTAAAAAAAAAAAAAAAAAAAAAAAAATGGTGGCGGACGATTTATTTTTGACGATCATTCATTCATTCATTCATTCATTCATTCATTCACTCACTCATTCATTATTTATTCATCGTTACGGAAATATTTTTATATGTATTTGCTTTTTTTTTTATTATTATTATTATTTTCTTCGCCGTAACTTTGATACTCACCCGGAAAATTTAAAAAAAAAAAAAATTTACGGGACGAGGGGGTTGGTCGAGGGGATCGGTTGTGGTTTTGTAGCCTTTATATCAAATAATAATAATAATAATAGTAATAATAATAATAATAATAAAACGGATTTGATAAAGTACGCGAGTACTCTACGCGTTGATTTGTTTACTTACGAATTTGAGAGAATATGCATAGAAAAGGGGAAAGAGATGCGGTTGGTTGCATGAAGAAGCTTTAATGATTATTATTATTATTATTATTATTATTATTATTATTATTATTATTATCATTTTCCCCCCCCCCTTGTAAAAAGTAAATAAGATGTCAAAATGTCGAGAAATGTGTCCGTAAGCGAAACAACATTTGTTTTTTTTAACATTTTCACACAGTTTTTGTATATATTAGAAAAAAAAAATTTTTTTCATAAAAGTCATCGCTTTTCTCTCTTTCTCTCTCTCTCTCTTTCTCTATCTCTCTTTCTCTCTCTTTTATGGTCATAAAACAAACGAAAATGATTTTAATTTTAGGGGATCGCATAAGAGCAGCAAAAAATTACTTGAACAATGTCAAAAATTGGAAAAAGTTTGGGGTCACACTTTTTCTTGTTTTATCACGTTGACTAGTCCGGAATCCTGGTATAGGAAACTTCGAGAATTGATCGATAAACAACAAACGTCACCGGTTTGGATGAGCGAGACGAAAGTAAGTTGAAAAATATTTTTTTTTTTTTTTTTTTTTTTTTTTTAGATCGAAAACAACAACAGCAACAACAGCAACAACAGCAACAATAATAATAATAATAATAATTTTGTTTTTGTGTTTTGCTGCGTCGGGTCGATTCGTCCGGGGGGGAGGGGTGGGAGGGAGGGAGGGATGGAGGTTTTTAGAATTTTCTTTACATTGACGATTTCTTATTTTTTTTTTTTTTTTTTTTTTTTGTAGCCGGTCGAAATCCCGTCAGACGTTTACTTTCGAGTGTGTCCCACGTCGCGATATATCGAACCTATCGAACGAGGGATTCAATCGTATCGAAACAGTGCATCCGTTACTCACATATCACCCCCCCTCCCGTCCGAACCATCTTACGAAACATTGACTCCCACAATGATTCAAAGCAAATCCGATTGTTGCATTAACCGTTATTCCGTCATAACCGAACAATTTTTCGGTTTCATATAAGAATCATCGGAAAAGTTTCCCCCCCCCGTCTTATTCCCGTCATTTTTTCCCTCGTTTTTCCCCCACCGATTGTTTCTTTTGTCTTGGTAGTTGTTCCTTTTTGTTTGTTGTATTTGTTGTCGTTGTCGTCCTCGTCCTCGTCGTCGTATTAGTAGTTATTGTTGTCTTGTGATTTTTTTAAAACAATTTAATTGTTTGTTGTTCGCATGATGATTAATTTTATTTATTTATTTGTTTGTTTGTTGCATGTTTGTCTGCTCCTTTTTATAATTATATTATAAAATTAATATAATAAGACTGAAAACGAGGGCAATCATACTCAAAACGTAATAAAAATTTTTATATTTTAATAATAATGATAATAATGGATGTTTTTCTACGTATATTAATAAACAAGTAAAAATATTTAGCGTTTACGTGTTATAATTATACCGGATATGGTAATTTAACGTTTTTACGTTGCGGTGTCACTCGTAATAATTTAATTATTATTATTATTATTATTATTATTATTATTATTTATTTTGACAGGGTGACTTAATTAAATTAAGCGTCTAATTAAAAAAATTTTTAACATTTAAACGGAAAAAAAAAATAAATAAATAAGCAGGGAAAAATGTGTGTGAGAGAGAGAGAGGGAGGGGGGGGGTCTCCATGATATTTTTTTGTATTTTCCTGCTTATTATATAAAATATTGTGTATTGTTATGATAATGTGGGACAACCATAATTTTTTTTTTATGTACGCATGATAATTATTTGTAATAAAATAATGTATGTTTTATTTGGCTGTGTTGTTGCCAACATACGAAAAAAAAAAAAAAAAAGGAAAAAAATACACGTCAAAATGCATGAATAATATCTTTTCCAGGGCTTTTGTCAGATTTTTTTTTTTTTTACATGTATTATTATTATTATTATTTTTTTTTTTTTTTGTTTTTGTGTGTAGCACACGCTTTGTTAAATACGTATATATATACATTGAACCCTTTGTTTTTTAGCCCGAAGAAGCCCTGTCCGATGACTTCCTATTTCCAATGACATCTCGATTTTCATACGCGTCTTCTCCGGAAAGTGACCTAGACCTTTCACCCGAACCGCGTACCGGGTTGCAACAAACGCGTCCAAGGGGACTAGTGAAAAGCTCTAGCGATCCGAGCATAGCGACCCAAGACGACATACCTTCGTACAATGCTCCGCCGCCCTACGCCCCGCCGAACGGATACCAGCAAATCATACAAGAATTAGATTACGGACGGAGTGGCGGTTTGGGAAGAGGAACGGGTGGTGGTGGTGGAGGGGGAGTCGTCGCACCACCGGATAAACAAAGGGATAAATATCCTCTCACTCCGCCAGATCGTCAAGCTGCTCCCGAACTTCCGCCGAGAATCGATCGGACGAACAAACCTCCGAGAGCGAATATAAATGCTTCGAGGTTAGGAGGGAGAGAGAGAGAGACAGAGGAGATTAATTTTCTTTTTTTCTCCATTGCGTTCGATATACGTTTCTTATTATTATTATTATCATTGTTGATTTTCAGGACGGGTCAGGATAAATTATTTGGTAAAGATGGCGGTCCTCCTTCACCGACGGATCCTCCCAATTACATAAATGCAACGCCGCACATGAGAGCTCCAAGTTCTTCGTTGGAAAGACACAATAACAATGTCAAAACCGTGAGTTTGTATAATTTATATCACATCCGGTATCCGATATCCGGTTTTCAAAATTTTTAACGATTTTTTTTTTTTTTTTGTATGTTCGGAGCAGAACAGTAACAGTTACGATTCCATGTCGTCCTACGATTCATATAATAATCGCTTCGGTCCAAATGCTCACGACGATTTGAAATCGAGTAATAATAATAATAATAATAATCCATCTCCTCGCTCACACGATCCGTACAGGTTCACAAGATCGACAGCTCAACCGTTATCGAAAGAAGTTATACCGCCTAGTAATAATAATAATGGAAAACTTCAAAATTCGGATTATCAGAAATACAGGTAAGGGGGGAAGGGAAGGGGAAGGGAAAGGGGAGGGATCGATCGCATGTAATAATAATAATAATAACTATAATTGTATTTTTGGTTTAATAGGGGTCCGGAATATGGAAAACCCGCACCTCCTCCGAAAACGGCAAATCACAAACCCGTACCTCCTCCGAAACCTAAAAATTACAGGCCGCCACAACAACCGCCAACGGACCAATCGTGGGGTTCTTCGAATCATCATTCCAGTAATTTTTTTTTTCTAGAATTCCTCCATTCCTGTGAAACGTCACGACGACAAATAATTATTAACTTTTTTAGGTCAAAATGACATGAATCATTGGGGTCCACCGGGCGCGACAAGCAATCACAATCACGACGGTCAGAGAAGTCAATGGAGGCATCCAGCATCTCCTCCGGGAACCATGGCTAAAGATCATTACCAACACGCAAAATCTTATTCTTTAGCCGGCGGAGTAGACGGAAACAATTATTCTCATTCAATACATCACAACGGGGTATAAATCATCGTCCATTTTCATTTTTACGTCGTGAAAATCAAAAAAGAAAAAAGAAAATTCTGACGAAATTATTATTATTATTATTATTATTTTTTTTTTTTTCTTCTTTAAAGAATTTATCACCTGGAAAATATTCCGACGTCGATATGAACAACATGAAAAGTGACATGATATCTCCGACAATATCTCCAAATCGTAATTCACAATATTATTATAACATGAGCCCACATTCCAGACATCAGGATCCGCCGTATTCGTTAAAGTAATTTTCATAATGATGATGATGATGATGATGATGATTGAATGAATGATTGATTGATTGATTGATTAATTTTTTTTTTCGTTTCACGATTCAGTCACAACGGAGGACCCGGACACAATCGCGAAGTTAGCGGACTCGATTTGGCAAATAGAGAACAAAGAGGAAGCGCTTTCGAATTGTATAAGAAACCACATTATTTGGAACATAACATGAGGTGAGTCTTGCGTCGTCATCATCATCATCATTATTATTATTATCATCATCATCATCATCGTGGATGTATTATCATGACTCGGTGACGTCACGTTTTTAACGGGACGACTGGAAAAAATTCGATTTGTTTCTTTCGGAAAAAAAAAGAAAACTTTGGATGATGGGGCCTGCTCTCTCTCTCTCTCTTTCTTTCTCTCTTTTTCTCACTCTCACTCTCTTTCTCTCTCTCTCTCATTCTCGAAAATAATCGAAAAGGAAAATTATCATCACGTCACGTGACAGGGCCTCAACATCATTTCCATAATTAATAATATTTTTATAATTTTTTAATTAGGTTTTTTTCTTGTTTCGAATTAAAAAAATTAAAAAATTATTTATTTATTTATTTATTTATCATTACGTCATCATTTTTGCTAGATATTAATAATAATAATAATAATAATAATAAATCTAACTTTTTAAAGAAGAGTCTTATTCATGAGTGGCGCTTTTTAATTAACGCAGGGATAGGGGTATGGTGAATGGAAAAGGCAATGGGGGGGTTGTGGCAACGGCTAGAGGGATATTCACTCACGAGGGGGGAGTCCTTGAAAATCAAGAAACGGGAGTGTCCCTTCGTGTCCCTCCCGGTGCCATACCTCACGGTGTTCAGCAAGAAATTTACTTCAAAGTCTGCAGGGCGAACGAGGCACATTTGCCGCCTCTTGACGCCGATCGAGGTAGGTTTTTGTTTTTCTTTTCTCTATTCCGTTCATTCATTCATTCATTCATTCATTCAGTTCGGTTCGGTATTTCTTCCACCTCCCCCTTCCCCTCCCCAACGTGAGTTCGAGGCACTTCTCATAAGTTTTTTTGTTTTTTTTTTTTGAATTTGTTTTCCAGGTGAAACGCTATTAAGTCCTTTGGTCATGTGCGGTCCTCAGGGTTTGAAATTCGGCATACCCGTCGAACTTCGTCTTCCACACAGAGCGGCAAACGATGACAACGATTGGTCACTCGCACTTCAAGCGGGATCACCGTCGAAATGGCAAAAAGTCGTTTTGGACACGGGAATCGTGGATTCGAGAAATTCAAACAGCGTCTCCGTCATGGTCGATCATTTTTAAATGAATGGACGCGAGTAGCGTAGCTGGTGCCACGATCGATTTCATATTAATTAACCTGCTCTCTATCTCACTCTCTCTCTCTCTGTCTCTCTATCTCTCTATCTTATTTAATATTTGTCGCTCTGTACTTTTATTTCCTCCCCCTCCCGCTCCCCGCTCTCTCCCCTCCTCGCCGCAGCCATTTTTTCCAACTTTAAGTTTTGTATTTTTTTTTTTTTTTTTAAATTTTAGTTGAAATTGTTGTAGATTATTTAAGTTATGTAAATACGTGACGTAATCAATTCAAAATCGTACGGAAGTGTAATGACGTCATCGTGACGGAGTCATCGGATGGGCTCAGGATGCTGCTGCTGAAAAGTATCCTGATGAAGAAGGATGCTGAGAAGCAGCAGCAGCATCCGCACCCATGATGATGACGTAGATGACGATGACGACGATGACGATGCAACGAAGTTCGATTATTATTATTATTATTATTTTTAATATTATATTTAATAATAATAATTTTTAAACTAATTGTTACAGTATAGTTTTTAGTTTTTGTACGAAATTTTTTTTTTTTTTTTTTTTTGTTTGAAAAAATAAAAATGAAACGTACCTACGTACCTATCTACCTGTTTACCTACACCGTAGGACAAATGAAAAGCATTTTCGTGCTGCCTTTTTCTCCCTCAGAATTTACCGGAATTTAATTTTTTGGAGGGAGGGAGGAAGTTAATGATAATGACGTGCCGCGTAACGAATCGTTTTCAGGTACGTTTTTTTTAATTGAAAAAAAGAAAAAAGAAAATTTTGTACCTTATTATATGAAAAAAAAAAAAAAATGATAATGATAATTTTTTTAAATAAAACTTTTTGTACGCGTGCGAGCCTACGTGCGTGCGTGCGTTTGTATGTAAGTGCGTGCGTGTGCGTGTATGCGTACGTGCGTGCGTATATTCTTTTTTTTAATATCAATATAATTATATTTTAAAATTGTATTTGATTTATTTTAATTTTTTTTACGATTTCCTTAAACCTTTATAAGAAAAAAAAGAAAAAAAAGAAAAAGTCAATCAATAAAATTTTCCGAAAGATTGGAAAGAAAAAAAAATTATTAATGGCGAACAATTACAACAAATAAATAAATAAATAAGTAAATTTTACCTTATTAAATTGTCCTACGTCGTAATAATAATAATAATAATATTCACAAACGGAAAATTTTTTCCCGACAAATCACAAAAAAAAAAAAAAACAAATAATATTTCAACACGAAACCGAATTAAAAACAATCGTTTTTTAAAATAATAATAATAATAATAAAACGTTTTTAAATTAATAATAATAATAATAATACCCGGATAAAAAAAAAATATAAAAAAGAGAGAGAAAAAAAATAATAATAATAAAGCAGAAGATAAAAAAATAAAATAAAAAAAAGTGTGTAAGAAAGAAAGAAAGAAGGAAAAAAAAGAAGAAAAAAAAAAATTTTCTTCTGCTGCTCCTGCTCCTGTTGTTGATTTTTTAATTTTCCCGAGCAAGAAAAAAAAGAAAAAGGAAAAAAAAAAGGAAAAAGAGAAAAGAAAAGAAAAATTCATGATTGGTTAAAAAAATTTTCAAAATACTCCCCTTTTCATTTTTTTAACCAATCAAAACGTTAGTAAATAATTTTCCTGGGCGTGGTTTAATTTTTTACATTTTCACGTGCATGCACTCTTTAATACCTTCTTCTTCCTTTTTTTTTTTTTTTTTTATGGGAATCTCATCAATAATATGAAAAGATACAAACAAGAAGTGAATGAATTCAAGTGAAAACATTTTTTCAAATCCATAATTTTTTATTTATTTATTTGTTATTAACAATAATAATACTCACCGTTGAGTAGTAGTAGTAGTAGTAGTAGTATTCTATCCTTCTTCCCCTCCTTGTGTTTTAAATATGTGATTTGTGTGAAAAAAAACCAAATTTTTTTTTACAAGTGGGGGATTCCCTTAAAAGAATGGTAAGTTTATTGCAATATATTTAATAAATTGTTGTCGTTGTTGTTGTTTGTTGTTTGTTGTTAACACCTTGTAAACAAAAATTTTCATTTTGATAATGGATAATTATATAAACAAACGTGAGAGAAAGAGAGAGAGAGAGAGAGAGAGAGAGAGATAGGGAAAAAAAAGAAAATTTTTTTCTTATTTTGGAGCATTAACAAAAGATATTTTTATCATCATTATCTGATTTTGATTATTTGAAAAAAAGGTTACAGCTGATGATGATGATGATGATGATGTGTTGTTCTTGTTAGTTTGTTTTAGCACCGTATGAAGCCTTTTAGTTTAATTGGGTTTTTACACAGCTTGACATCGTTTACTACTATCATCAGTTTTACCTGTTTTTTTTTTTTTTTTGTTTGGAAAGAAAGAAAAGAAAAAAGAAAATTTTAACAAAAGGTTTTTCTTTTGTTTTGTTTTAACCTCACACCCCACACCCCACAGCCCCCCCCCTCAAAACACTTTTAAAAATTCGTTAAAATTGTTGTTTTGATTAATGAAATTTTTTTTTTTTTTTATTCGACAGCAAACATTTATTGTTGTTGTTTGTTTTTACAAATTTAAAATATTTTTTTTTGATTTCCTTTTGCTTAGTTTTTCTATTTTGAATGATTCAATTTTGAAAAAGTAGAAATTAAATAACGTTAAAGAAAAAAAAAAAAAAAAAAAAAAGTTTCAGAGGGTAAAAGAAAAAGAAAAGTTGAAAAAAATTTCAATATTTTTTTTTTTCTTCTTTTCTCTCCCTCTTTGGAAATATTTTAACCTAATATTTAATAATAACGAGAAAATTAATGGAAAATTTCATTTCTTTTAAATCGATTTGTTTATAAAATTTTCTTAGTTCCGTTTCCGGTTCAAGATTGTTCTATTTCCGGAATGATGATTCGAACGTAAAGTCGTCAGATTCAAAGGAGACAAATGCATTTCAATATTTCTTATGTTTCTCTCTCTCTCTCTTTCTCTCTCTCTTTTTCTCTTTCTCTCTCTTTTTTTAATATAAAGAATTTTTTCGTTTTTTAAATATTTTTTATTTAGGATAACGGTTTTGGAAGCTCACATTCTTCTAATTACGTCGGGTCATCAATAAGATCAAAAACGGAAAATGATGATGATGATTGCGTTTCCGGTGTTGGAATCCACGAAAAAGGATCTCATACATCAGAAGGTGATTTTTTAATTCTATAAATTTAATCGTTAATTAATAATTTCTGTAAAAATTTCGTTTGTTAAAAAACATTTTTCGTATGAACGAAAAAGATTTGTTTACAATAACAACAAAAAAAAAACCCGCCAAAATTTTTATTTTCGTTCTCATCTAAAGCCACGATTTTTTACGTTAAATTTTAAATATGTACGTTATAGGGTTTGCTTTTTTATGGAGCGTTTATGAAACTTCGTTAACCATCATCGTAGTTAATTTATTGTTATTTTATTTATTATAAATAATAAATAGATAATTAATTATTAAATTTTTTATTTATATTTGATTATTAGGAACCATATTTCAAGAACTTAGAAGTCCTTGGATTCAAGAAAGTAAGTTAATTAACAATCAAATTCATTTTTATGTTTCTTATTTGTTGTTGGTGGTGACGTTTTTTCACTGTCATTATTATTATTATTTTTTTGTTTTATGTTCATATCATCGATGCATATCGTTAATAAATAATCGTTAATTTAAATTAGTCGAATATAAATCTCTGAATTTATGGTCTGATTTCGTGGCAACAGCTCACCATACCTTTGCAATCCCACCAAACTGATAACAGTACCTTTTTATGAATGTGAATGTCAGCCTTAGAAGTTGTTGGTGTTTGTTTCCCTTGCCTAGACCAGAATATATTCGACAAAATGTTATCATAGACAACCCACTTTTCATCTCCGGTGACCATCCTTTCAAAAAAGGGTCATTCGCATTGCGTTTAAGAAGCATATCACAAAGACCAAGTTGCCTAATTAACTCACACTCCCCAAGGTTATGGGTCAACCTTCTTTTGGTACCCAAGAAGCCGCACGTATGTGACACATCTACCTTCTTTGCAATGCCCCTTGTCAAACTATGCCGATCATAATCAATGAGGGTCTTTATTTAGTCATTCTCAACCTCCACTAAAAGCCCAGAGCTATCCTCATCTTTCAAAGAAAAATCTCCGGAATTTTGACACTGCCATTCTTTTAAGGTTTCATCACCCTACACAGCCCACAACTTTTTATGAACTTGTGAAGCATTGACACACCCTTTCAAAAAAGGAAAATGTGGAGGAAATGCTAGCTTTGGCTCCCCATTGGCTTTAAATGTCTTTTCCTCACACACAATTTAAGAGTTCCATGAAATTTTGGTACCGAATGTTACAGAAGGAACCAAGTAGTAACCTATCAAAAGTTCTTCTTGTCTGTGCAAAAATGTAAACAAACTCATGAACAAACTATCTGTTGGTGGAAAATCCATAATTATAATTACTGGCCAACCCAATAATAAAATTAATTGTAAAATTTTATTGAAAAGAATTTTCCAAAAGAAGAAAATGGAAAATCAATCAAATCTACATGAAACATATTTTCAAATAATCAATAAATCATAATTGATAACTTACATATAAAAAAATAAATTTAAAACAAAACCAAAAAAAATTTCATTATCATTATTGACATTTATAAATGTGTGTGTGTTTGTGTTTGTTTGTTTGTGTGTCTTTTTCTTTTGTTGTAAAATAATCTCAAATATCAGGTAATGTAAATAATAATAATAATAATAATAATTAAGTTTTGAAAGGGATATAATACAGTGAAAATAAATTTAAAGTGATTAAAGGGAGAATAATGAGGTTGTGATGATGATGGTGATGGTAGTGGTGGTGGTGAGGGTGGCGGAGGTGGTGGTCGTTGACAATCCCTTGAAATGACTAATCATGTTTACTTATATGTGTGTATGTGTGTACACCCTGTTTCTATTTACTTTATTAAATTGTCATATCATCCCCAATTAACCAACCACCAATTTCTAATGGTCAATGGTTCTCATTGGTTTTTAATTTCATTAAATCATATTATTATTATTATTATTAAAACATTTTTTCAATAAGGTAAAAGGTAAATTTTTTGTTTAATTGACCTATGAACTTGAAGAAAATAATAATAATAATAATAATTTGACATAAATATTGTCCTTGAAATATTTTGTGAAAAAAAAAAATCAATAAAAAAATTGAATAAGTTTAATGAGAAAAAAAAGTAATAATAATAATAATAATAATAATTCAATTCAAGTTAAAATTTATTATTATTATTATTATTATTATTATTATTATTATTATTTTCTGTCACACTATTTGTCAACATCATGAATGATGTTGTTGGAGAAGGACAAAAAAATGAAAAAGAATAAAATCAAGTTTTCTATGATGTGTTTATTCCCTCCAAACATTTCAATTCATTCATTCATTCATTCATTCATTCATCAAAAGTTAAATAAGGGAAAAAAATATGTCACTTCCAGAAGAATTTTTTTTTTTTTCTTATTTTTTTTTGTGTGTTGGTTTTTCTTTTTTTTTTTTAAGGTCAAGGAAATTGTTATGGTACAGAAATAGAAGAAAATGAACACTATTATCCAGAATATCATCATCATCATCGTCATCATCATCATCATTTAACAGGTCAGAATCATTTTATAAATTAATATTAGTAATAATAATAATAATAATTCAATTGTTTTTTTTTTTTTTTTTGGAAAAAAATTTATTTTTTGTCTCTATAAAATATCAGCCATCTTTCTTTTTTTAAAAAAAAATTTTAAGTAATTCCAGAAATCAGCTGGAATCTTTTGATATAAGATTATGGAATTATATCTTTTATCTCTGTCGGTGGTCTTCTTTCTGGAATTATCTTTAAATTTTCTTCTTCTTTTTTTTTTGACAGGTGGAAACATTTGCATAAAACAAGAAACACGTCCGTATATATCTCACGTACCATATGGACCCTATGGACCCCCACATCAATATAATTACGGTTGTTTTACTACAACCCCCCAACCAACATGTTTTACAAGATATTCACCAAATCGTGATAAAACAACAACAACAACATTTGATGAAACAGTATCGAGATCAGCTTTTTTTAATATTTCACAATCTTGTTTTAGGTGAGGAAAAACAAACAATAATAATAATAATAATAATAAATCGAAACGAGATTTTTTTTTTTTCCAACTAATCGGACTATCGACTTATAATCAAACCTATTTAATTATTAACAATAAAATTTGTGTTTTAGGATGAGATTAATAAATCCTTTTAACCCCCCCATCATCGGAGTCAAGTTTTCATTTTCCCCCTTTAACCCTTTTTTATTATCATTATTATCGTTTGCTTTTTGCGTGGATTCTCATTATATGTATTATATTTAAAGAAAAAATTTATTTTGTTTTGAATTTTCCGGATTTAGAACACCTCCACCATCTTTGTGCGAAACTCAATCTAATATTGCTCATCACGTGACCGTTAAAAAAGAACCTTTGGATCAAGGGTACGAACACATGCAGGATATACCAATCGTTCAACAGCACAATGGTAAGTTTTCCTTTTTTTTTTTTTTTTTTTTTTTTTAAAAAATTTATTATTAAAATTTGTTGTAACTCATCAAAGATGGAGATGATGGAAAAGAAGGAAATTTTTTTTCTTTTTTTTATAATAAATAATTGTTATAAAAATCACGTTTTATCTCGGAATAAAAAGACTTCGTCAGGGAAAAAATACGGCGAGGAAATTGACTTAGATCGTGCCACGACAAAATTCGATATTAATAATAATAATAATACGAAGAAGAAGAAAAGACTAAAAAAAAAAAAAATCTGCATTCTAAGTCTTTGTTATGTAATTTATTATTATTATTATTATTATTTCGAAGCTTGTATGAAAATCACACCCTTGGAAAATGTTTTTAAAAAAAAAAAGAGAGAGAGAGTGAGAGTGAGAGAGTGAGAGAGAGAGAGAGTGAGAGAGAGAGTGAGATTGAGAGAGATGGAAAATTGTTTGCTTTAAATCAAATTTTCAATTGTTCCTTCTGTTTTCATTATTATTATTATTATTATTATGAATACTAAAAATTTTTATCCTCGATATCTCCAGCAAATGATATTATAAAATCATATCAGGGGGAGGGGAGGGAAGGGGGGTACGCGATAAAAATCATGGAAAAGAATCATTGTGGGAAAAAAAAAAGTTTTATGTTTTACCACATAAACGTTCGATAAAAAATAATCAAAGTTATTGTAGTAATTAAATTATTATTATTTTTTCTATTACCACGACAAAAAACGTTACACGTTACATAAAATATTATTAAGAATTTTTTTTTAAATAAAAAATATTCGGTGTATGTATACATAAAAAATTTAGTTTGAAAATCAATTTGATATCGCTGCGGGATCATCTGTTACGCTCTTGTAGTAGATATTCAACCCTCTTTTATTATGCCCTTCTCAACCACCACCACCACCACCCACCCACTCACTCATCCACCCATCGACCCCTACCCCACCACCACCGCCTCCTCCTTACCATTTTCCCTTTTGATCTCCTACATCATTTTGAACTTTTCATTTTAGGGATGCCTAAGGGGGTAAAACGTTGTTGCCGTTCACTTCATTTTTTTTTTTTTTTTTTTTGTGTTTATAAATGAAAAAAAAAAAAATTTTTTTTCTTTCTTCTTCATCCCTTATTCGGTAGGTGAAGCGTGCCGGGAAAATCAACAAGTTTTATTTTACCCGGTAAATATAATAATAATAATAATAATAATATTAATATCATTTTGTAAACAATATGCAGATTTTTTTTTTTTTTTTTTTTTTAAATTGACGTTTGTTTAAAAAATAATAATAATAATAAATTTTTTTTTTTAATATTGTCACGCCTGTTTTTTCTTCGAATTAATAAAAAAAAAAATTTTAAATGGCGGATAAAAAAAAAATTTAATTTTTTTATTTAAAAAGCAAACAAACGCAAAAGAAAACTAATAAAGAAAGAATCTTTTGCACAATTAAACCCCCCCCCCCTCTCTCTCTCTCTCTGTTTGTATGTTCAGAGTTGTATTAAAGTTTGTCCTCTCCTCATTTGAGTTGAAAATTGTTTGTTTTTGTTTGTTTTCTTTACGTGTTGAATTTTCTCGACTTCCGGGCGCCGGATGTCAACAACTTGAAACCGCCACAAAATTCATCATCCATCCATCCATCCTTAGAATTTTATTTTCTACTAAAAAAAAAATGTTTAAATAATTTTTTTTTTTTTTAAATTAAACAAACAAAAGAATACGTAGAATTAAAAACAAGGTTGCCAACATACCGTAAAAAAAAAAAAAATTATATTTTATACGTTTAAAAAAAAATCTGATTTAATGATTAAAAAAAGGAAAAGAATGAACGGAAGGTGGGGGAGGGAGAAAGGGGGAAAAAAGGTTAATTTAAACATTAGAAAATTTTATTATTATTATCATCATCATCTACATCATCGAACAACAACCGCAACAACGTTAAAATATCTTTAATAAAAAATTAGAAACAAAATATAAATAACAAAAAGTTAAATGATGAAAACTCCAAGAGAGAAAATATGACTCTGGGGAGAAACGTTGAATTTATATAGAAATTCAAGGTAGTGTATAGTCGGTTGTTAAAAGCTTTTCTTTTCATTATTTAGTAGATGATTCACAAGACCCGTGTCAATTAGGATTACACTGTGAGTGCTCCTTCTCCTCCCCCTGCACCCCCTCCCCCTGCTCCTGATTCTGCTCTTGCTGCTCCTTCTCCTTCTCCTCCTGCTCCTGCCTTGGTTGTTGTTGTTGTTCTTTCCACCGTTTTCGTTTTCCCTCCTCTGTCTCCCTTTTCCCCATCCTCCTCTCCTCCACCCCTATCCCATCCTCCACCATCTTTTTTTTTTAGTTGCTCTTACTCTCTGGGAGAAAAAAAAAAAAAAATTAAAAAATAAATATATGTAGGAGAAAATTAAAATACCATGGTGTAGCTTTTCATTCTAATTAATAATTACAAAGGTAAAATTAAAGCTTTTTCTATCAGGGATGAACAAAAAAAAAAAAAAAAAAAAAAGAGTGAGATGATAGGAAGTTGAAAAGTAGGAAAGGTGGAGGGGGTTGAAGGGGTTTAAAATGTCCAGGGAATCTGGAAAAAATTGTTTTAACGTTTTTTTTGTTTTTTTCCTTTCTTCATCTTCATCATCTTCTTCTGCTTTTTTTTTCCCCATTTATTTATTATTAATAGTTTTTTTTTTTTTTTTTATTTAAAATAGGTTTCGAAGTGCACGGTATGATATCAACTTCCGGTTGTACGACTCGTGAAAAATTAGATAATAATGATAAATTATGGAGTCCGGGAGTAAGTGATAATTCAACGAGTTATTCTGGAAGACGTGGTTCTCTTCAATTATGGCAATTTTTAGTTGCTCTTCTGGACGATCCGAGTTGTGCTGCTTGCATTGCATGGACAGGAAGAGGATTGGAATTTAAATTAGTCGAACCGGAAGAGGTTGTTTCATTTGTTTGTTTTGTCTGGATAATGTATTTATTTTTTTTAAATTAAATTTTTTTTGTTTTTAGGTTGCTCGACGATGGGGAGTACAAAAAAATAGGCCGGCAATGAATTACGATAAACTTAGCAGATCACTTCGTTACTATTACGAAAAAGGAATAATGCAAAAAGTTGCTGGAGAACGTTACGTATATAAATTCGTATGCGATCCGGAAGCTTTGTTTAGCATGGCATATGGTGGAAACGATAGAAAAGATATTATTTCATCGGATCCAATAAAATCTTCTTCGTCGTGTTATACTGACGTCATTTCCGTTAATGCAACCAGGAGTTATTCTTTTCAACAATATTTAAGTGATCCTGATAGATCTACGACAAAATGTCAGACTCAGAGTTTATCATCACTCAATGGTACTAAAAATATTATTTTTGACAGTGACAGTAATAATAAATTAGGTTTTTTAAATAGAGGGGAAAGTTCGAATACAGGTACAACCTTAACATTAGATTTACCCGGATCGCATTCGAGTGAAAAATCATCGGAAGAAAAATCAAATAAAGAAAATTTAACTACATCAAATAATGGTATTGATAAATTTCAATGTTTGGGAGTTAACGGTTGCGTTTGTTAAAATCATTGAATGTTTTCGAACGAAATTTTTTTTATTTTCTCTTCTCTTTTTGATTCGTCAATTTTTTAAATAATAATAATAATAATAATAATAATAATAGCTCATAATTTAAATATGTTAATATTCGCATTAAAATCAAAAAAATTTAATTTGTTTTAGCTAGAAAGCTGTATTTTACGCTTAATATCCTTAAATTGTTCTTTTATAATTATAATTAATAGTGTAATAATTTGTGATCATTATAATTTTTAATCTTTTTCATTAAAAAAAAAAGAAATATTCTGTTAATTTTTTTTATTTATTAATTAAATATTAGTAAAATATATTTACTATAATACATGTTCAGAAATTTATTGTTTTTTTCATTATTATTATTATTTTTAAAGTATTCAATAAGTTGTAAGAAAAAAGACAATTAGGAAGTTTTATTACCACATTTGAAATAAAAAATATCGTTTTTTTTAATATTTTTATTAATTATTTTACACGAATGACTTTCATGAAAGAAGATAAATGATTTTTTAAACGGTTTTTGGCGGGTCACAGCCTTTTTTAAACGAACGTGGAATCAGACAATAAATATTGTAAGGTATGTGTGGTTTATAATATTGAAGTAAATAAACTGTACGAAGTTTACACATATAAGTCTTGCATGTGCCTTTAGTTTTCGATTATGAAAATAATTTTTAATTTCGCCTTTAATGAAAATTTTAATCCTATAATAGTTAAGTTTGAAAATAAATAAAAATAATGGCTGATTGTACTGAAGACAGCGAAGATGCTACCAGTTCGATAGGTGATGAAGAAAGAGTTAAAAGATTATTTCAAGCATGTGATGGCGATGGTGATGGTTTCATTGACAGGTATAAAATAATAAAGTCGTATAGTTGAATAAAATACTTGACCTGATTATTAATAATCGTCTGCAATTTTCAGTCAAGATCTTTTAAACGTGTGTAGAGAATTAAATCTTGAAGATTCGATTGAAGAATTAATGAAAGAGTTAGGAGCTGATGAGCAAGGTAGAATTTCATATCAGGAATTTTTTAAAAGAAGACTTGCTCTTAGACCTGAAATTGAAGCTATAAAAAGTAGTAAACCTCAGCAACCTGAATATTTACCCACATCTAGTGAAAATAGTTTGGGAGAAGGTAAAATGTCTTGGGAATTTGATTCTGGTGCAAGAGATCTCAGTCCAGAGCCGCATTCTTTACAGCAATTAGTATCATCATCTAGTAGCCATCCTGGAAGTGGGAATTTATTAGAATTAGCGAATAAAGTTTGTATTTTAAATTTTAATATTAATTTTAATATTAATTAATTATGTAATTAATTTAAAACATTAATTTTAGTTACATGTAGCTGCATTAGCATCCCTTAAAAATGAAATATTAGATTTATCGAATAGATTACAATGTGTAACCCAGGAAAGAGATCATTTTGAAAAATCTCTACATAAGGCAGAATTAGAAAGGCATAAAGCTGAACAAAAACTCGAAGAAGAATTACAGTTACATGAAGAACAATTAACAGAGCTGCATTCCGTCATAGCTGAACTGACTAGAAAAGTTCAACATCAAAGAACTTTAGTGATTAGAGAAGAAGAAGATATGTCTGGTAGATAAGATAGATAGATACATATCTAATTATAATTTCACAGTTTCCAAAAGAAAATATTAAAAAAATAATGAATTAATTTCAGAAACAGATGAAAATGAAACTAGTGCAATAGTCGAATGTTCTCAAACTCTTTTAATAGATGAAGAAGTTAATGAAATTGATCCAACCATTGGAACATCAGCAAGTAGTAATGAAAATGAAGAGGCTGAAGAAAAAATAAATAAACCTTCAGAAGATTTGGAGGCTTTAAAAGAAGAATTGGCTCAAGTTAAAGCGGAAAATGCAATGTTAAATGAAAGACTTAATAGAGCTCTTAATGATTTAGAAACGATTAGTAAACTAAATAACAAAAAGGTATGAAAAATTTTAATAAAGGTTTTAATTATGTTAAAATATTAATAATAATAATAATAAAATTGTTTTATGTGAGAATGCATATGGAATTAAATAACCTTACCTTATCATTGCAGCAAATTTGTGAAGTTCCAGATAGTGTTGAAGTTGTTAGAGTTGCAGTTGTCTCCAGTCCATCGAGAGTTGTAGATCGTGCTAGTCCTTCATTGGTTACCCAAAAAATAACAAGTCCAAGTAGGAGCAGTCCAAGTCGAATCGATCGTAATTCACCTATACCGAAAATAGCAGAAAGAGTGAGATTAAAAAGAGTCGATAATCAAGTGACAGGATCAGACATAGCCAATTTTGGAGTTAGTGTAAAATTTTATAGAAACCCCCCCCCTTTTTTTTTTTTTTTAATAGTTTTCCTTTAAAGGGTAAAATAAAATAAAAAAAATTTTTTTAAGGTTTGCCATACGAAAGTGGCTGAGCATTTAGTTTCGGATTTGCAAGAGGAATCAGATCTTCAAGAGCTTCATAGAGGAGACATGTTGTCGAAGAAACAACTAGAATTAGAAACGGAAAGGTTAAATTCAAAATTGGAACACGTTAGAGCACAAAATGCCGTTTTAGCATTAACTTTAGAAGAGTGCAAAGCTCAATGTGATAAGTTAGTAAAATACTAGAGAATTAATTTTTTTTTTTTTTTTATGTTGGCAAGAGTAGCAGTAATTCGATTCTTATTCTTTCAGATTAAGTTTACTCTTAGGAAAATACGAATCGAACGCAGTTGCATTGAAATTAGCTTTAAATTATTCGGATCAAGCTCTTCACGTCGCGGAAAGTTTAGTTTATTTATTAGAAACGAAACAAAATCAAACGGAACTCGGTTGGGTTTTATCGAGTTGTTTAGAACCTCAGAATTCAGTTTTCAACAGCGAACTGGCGGACAATCCGTTCGTTCGAAAAGCCATAGAGAACAGGAAAAAAGCGGAAAGACACGCGAAAAGAGTTTTGGATAATTTCGAAGATGGTCGTGATTCCGGTGGTAATAATCAATCCGAGTGGAATCCGGAAGACGAAACGAAATTAAAAGAAAAATTAAACGCTTTGAAAAGTGATAGAAATTTAGTTAAGACGACCGTCGTGGAATTAGAAAGTCCTCACGTACTGCCATTTGCAAACGTATTAAATTTGGCGGACGTGAGAAAGTTGGATTTGGAAACGGCCGTTTTAATGCAGGTAATTATTTGTTTTCCGTTTATAAAAAATTTTTTTGGTTTTCATTTTACTGAAAAACTGAAAAATTTTAATTTTTTTTTTTTAAGGAATTGATGAGCATGAGAGAAGATAGAGCAGAATTGAAAGGAAAAATTCATTTTTTGGAAAAGGAAAGAGCGGCACAAGAATTGAGAATCGTAGCACAAAATTCTCACCTTCAATCTCTTTTACAATCTATAAAACATTTAAAAGATCAAATCAATGAGGTGGTTGTTGTTATAAATATGAGCGATTATTTATTATGCCTTGAAAAAAAATTATCAATGAATAAAATTTCAGGACAAAGAAAATAACACGGATAAAAAATCGGGTTTTCAAAATGGCGACTCGACGAAATTAAAAGAAAGAATCGAAGATCTCGTTAATAAATTGGATCAAATAGCGAGAAATTCAGAGCTTCGGTATCAGGAAAATGCAGAATTGGTTTTGGATTTAAAAGCGGCAAATTCTGCTTTGGTTTCGACTTTGGATAGATGTAAGAAAAAATATCAGGGAAGATTGAAAAAATTAGAAGCACAAATGATGTCGATGGTTGAACAACACGCTCACCAGGTTATTAAATAAGATGAAAAACGTTAAAAAGACATTAAATGGTTTGATATTAATGTTCTCCATTTTGTTTTTTTTTAGGAAGGAATTTCTGATAGGAAAACGATTAGAGGGAATTTATTTGATAAATAATGAAAAATCTTTTTTTTTTTTGCCTATTATTTATCGGAAATCACCGTTGAATATTTTTTATAAAACGTTAAAAGAAAAGAAAGCTAGGAGAAGTACAAGTAACCCCTTGACCTTGACCTTTGACGAATGGGTTGTGGGTACAAAATAAAATGTCGTAAAGTGGAAGAAGGCGTCTAGAAAGAAGCAACTTTTCCAAAAAAAAAAGGGATGAAGGAGGGAGAGTTGAAAGAAATACAGAAACTTGTTTGTCGCAAAGGGAAACCGTTATCGATAACGAACGAAATAATAATAATAATAGTAGAAAGGTCAAGGGGTCACAAAATAAAAATAAAACGTTTAAAGTATATACTCATTCCAAGCATAATAGTTTTTCCATATATATATATATATATTTAATATACAGTATAGAATTCATAATCAAAATCAATAATAAATTTCGAATCGATCTCAAATAGAATTATTATTATTATTATCATTATTATTTTTTTATTTGCTGTTGTCAATAATTGCTTTACGAAGCTTATCATATTACTTTTTTTTTATGTATTAATATAAATCGCGAATCTCTTAAATATATATTATATGATATGGCTTTAAAAAGTGGAAAACGAATGCAATTATTTTATAATTTTAGTGCCAATAAAATTATTATCATTATCATTATTTTTTATTTTATTTTATTTTAATGTATTCGCGACGAGAAAAAAAAAAAAAAAAAAAAAAATTGAAATATTAAACGTTTTTAAAATGATATATATATATTTGTATAATTGTTATTATTATTATTATAGGTTTCTTTTTTTAAAAAAAAAATTATTATTATTATTATTTTTTAATTAAATAAATTTTATATTGTTTATTGTAATGGCAAGATGATGAATGGGTAGGAATTATTATTAAAAAAATGAATTTCTATTAAGTTGTCCAAGTATATGAAATAAGAAAAAGAAATAAATAAATATATATTTAAAAAGAAATTAGTTTTGATTTATTTAAATAAATAAATAATTAAACTGGAGAATATATTCTAATGAGATTATGTACATCAGCTGGTATTTTAGTTATGGGACAATAACCATTTTCAATTAAAAATTTAATTATGCATTCTAAACAGTACATGTGACCAGATTCCGGAATGACAGCTTTCGAATAATTACCAACATGATGACATTTAATTGGGTTATCATCATGAGAATATCCCTGGAAAATTTGGAATTTTTTTTTATAAAAAAATTATTCGAATGTGGTTCATAATTATTAAGTTTAATAAATACCTGATTAAGACGAGGTGGTGGTGGTGGTGGTGGTATAAAAAAACTATTTCCATTATTTTTATTTTCTGTTTGTAACATGTTAGTAAGCTCGATTAAAAATGCACCAATTCCGAAAATATTACTAGGAAAAATACCTTTGATTATATTTCTGTAATAAAAATTTTTTTATATTTAATTTGGTAGATTATTTATAATGTTAAATTAATTAATTTATCCATTATTACAAACTTTAATGTAAAATTTTCATTTTCTGCCATTAATCTTTCATTATATTTTAATTTAACACCAGAAATCCATAATAAAGGTGATATAATTTCGCTTTTTTCCGATAAATATTTTATATGTTGAAATGTATTTATTACAATGAATATTATATTAATTGCACTATTGCTTCCGATAATAAATTTTTTCCAATTTAATTTTTTATTCTAATTAAAAAAGAAAAAAAAATTAATTTAAATTTATTGCAATTAAAGAAATAAACAAAATTTCGCTTGAAAATTTATTTTATTTACATCGTTAATTGAGAAATCGTTTTCATACGATAATTTTTCACTGAATTCGTTTAACTTTGATTTTAAATATGGCCATATAACAACAGTTCCAAGTGATAAAATCAAATTTTTTTTACTTAATTTTCCCAATGGATTTTGAATATTTTTTCTTTCCAATCCGTAAAAATTTTCAAAAAAAGTTGCATCTAAAAAAAAAAATATTAAAAAATCAACATCGTTACTTTGAGAAAAAAGTTTTTTATTTAAACATTTAGCTATTACTCACTGTACTTTTTTAAATAGTGATATTGAAGAGGAAATAATAATGAAAAATAATAAATTTCATTAAACCATTTTTTAACAACAGTTAAATTATCATAACGATTTGCTAAATAAAATAAAAATTTTTGAGCTGCTGGATAAAATAAATTATCTAATGCTTCCTGTGCAAAAAAGTCAAGAATCGATGGATTGTTTTGATGATAAAAAAAATTTTCCTCCATATTTTAAATTTTCCCTAAGATTTAACATTTTTTCCAAACGAACTAAAATTATATTTTATTTTAAATGACATCCCGTAAGTTCTCGTATATAAAATTTAAACATTTTAACAAATTTATAATTATCACTAGTGTAATACTTAATGTAAACAATATGTGTCTAATGACACGACATTAATTTAAATGGATTTATTATTTAAATATGTCTGAAAAAGATAAGATACTGGTTTATGAAAAAAAATTAGAACAACTTAAAGAAGAAGAAAAAGTTATATTAAAAATATTAAAAAGTGTTCAAACTCAATTAAAAAAATACGAGGTAATATTATTATATTTTTCGTTATTCATTTTGAATTTTATTTTTTGTTTTTTACGTAAGTTAAACGAAATTTTCAGGTTGAAGAATTACAAACTTCCAGTGATTTTACCTCTGATAGAAAAAGAGAAGAAGAGGAAGACGATCAAGATAGCGAATCTGATGAAAGTGTTGCAGATCCTAAAACATTATTAAAACTATTAGATTGTGCTGAATTAGTCAATGACAATTCTTTAAATTTGGGTTTAAATAAAATGTTTGGAAGTGACGATGAAGACTGTGAAGAAATTGAAGATTCCGAATAAATTTATGAAAAAAATAAAGTATTCAAATTATTATCAATATAATGTTATTAAATTTATAGTGTTTAACACAAATCTTCACTCTTGATAACACAAATTCATTTTTGTAATTTACAGAATGAAATGACTGAAGAAATTATAAATTTCGACAAAGAATGCGATGAAAAAAATTACATTGAAACAATGGCTGATGATACATTTTTATCTGATGTAAATAACAAACAACATATTTATGAAAATAACAAAGGGAATTATGTGTATGCTAGCGATAATGTTGAAGAAGATTCAATTGTAGAAACGACAGCATTAAGAGAAAATTCAGAAATTTCGAAAGGTACATCAAGTTCGATAACGAGTGAAAATTATTTAATCCTACCTGGAACGCTTAAAAGAGGAAGGAATAAAACACGACAAGTTGAAGTTGTTTTAAACATGTCTAGGGAAGAACTTGAATTGTTAGAATTAAACATAATGACAAAGAAAAAAAACATTTGTTATAATAGTTTAAATGGTGGTATGCATGTTTTTCTATGGTCTATTATTTGCTCACCTATTAGTTTAATATTATCATCAATGTATTCGTTTTTCATGGGTACCCTTACTTGGTATGGAATATTTTCAATGTTTTCAGAAACTAAATCATTTAAATATAAAATCATAGTACCTCCAATTCTGATTATATTGTATCCATTTTTAATAGTCTTTGTTTCTCTTTGCTTAGGCATATATGCTGGATTTAAACAAGTTTCATGGTATTGGAATATATGGTTAGACGAATTTACTGATTATGATAAAGGATTTTTCGGATGGTTGTGTAATGTTTTAGATATACCTGAATGTTCTCCATATGAAATTATTATTTTGTCAAATGTATATAAACCTTAATTGTGTGGGTGTTAAGTACTTAAATAGTTCCTTTAGAAATTAAAGTTAGTTTCTCAATGGGTCAAACGATGAAATGACCTTGAATATTCTAGAATAAGTAGTGCAGTATTTTATATGATTGGACGTGTTTTGTGTACGATAATCATTTTTATAATTTTATATAAATTGTATTATAAAATCGCGTAATATTAAATAATATACGTAAAATTTTTCTTTTTATAACGGTTGATATTTAAATCCTTATCACATTTGACCCTTATCACCTTTTGCATTTTGAATAACTGGAATGATAACACAAGCTTATCACTAACAATCTGAATAGAATCAAATTGAACTTTAAATTTTAATTAAAAGGTCAAAGGTTAACAAAAAATGAAACGTTGTAATTATTTTATTGAAAGTTGTTATCGATTAGGATTTCGTAAAATTTTTTTTCCCCCATTGAAACCAGGACACAAATTTTAATAATAATAATAATAATTAATTAATGAATGAAATATTTTTTCCTTTTTTATTTTAACAAATTTTTTTTCTTTTTTCCACAATAAATTTTCTTTTTTTTAATATAATAATAATAATAATAATAATAATAAATTCATCCGACGACAATCGTTTTTATTTTTTTATTTCAATTTAAATATTTTTCGTATAATCGATAAATCGATCAAATCGATTTTTTTCCTTCAAATTTCTAATACAAATAATAATAATAATATTATTATCCGATTCCCTAAGGATACAAGAAAAAAAAAATAAGAAAAAGAAACTTATTATTAAATTACTACCAGTTTAAAATTAAACAGATTTGTAACACAATACTCTCGACATTATTATTATTATTATTATTATTACTTCTCTCCCCCCACCCATTTACATCATATTTCGGCCATCTTGATATAAAAAAAAAAGCAAAAAAATTAAATTTTTATAAATTTGTTTGTTGTGTTTGTGTTTGTTTGTGTGAATGAATAACTAGACTAGATTCACAAACAATTTTTTCTTTCTTTCTCCCCACAAAACAAAAAAACTCGTTTGTTTGTTTGTTTCTTAATTACAAAACAAAACAAACATAATCATAAATTTTTTTTTTACTTATTTCCTTACTTAAAAAAAAAAAATTAATTTAAATAAATAAAAAAAAGAAAAACATTCTTCACCGGCTGAAAATCCCCCTTTTAAAAATTTCAATAATCTCTATCCTCCGGGATCCTATACGGGATATCCAATTGTTTAAAAATATCATTTTCCGTTTGCGTCGGTATCAATTTACCTTTGCTTAAAACTTTCGAACCCTAAAAAAAAAACAAAAAAAATTTTTTATCACGTGACGACTTCCCCCTCCCCCTCTCCTTCGGGATGTAAATAATCCGAGTGGATACCTTTCGAATCGTTCCCGCATAAAGTCCACGTTCCGTTAATATCATATTTTTTTTACGCGCCAAAATTTTAACCGTTCTATTAAACATGGCGGATCCGGTGTAGTGAAACAAACCGGAAGCGTATTCCCTACCGGAAACGACGAAAATATCCAATCGTCTGTGCTTTTCCTCATCTCCCTTCAATTTAAATATTCCATAATATTTTCTATTTTCTTTATCCGTATTATCCGATTGTATAAAATTAACGAGATCATCCGTTAAAAAACCTGGAAAAATAAAAAAACCCGGTAAAGAATTCAAGCGAACACACCGGATATGGTAGCAATTCTTAGAGTGTGAATTCATTTCCGTTTGACCTTGAATTTTCAATAAATTCCATAATTTTTTAAGAATTTCACCCGGGCGTTTATCATCATCATCATCATCGTGATTAACAATCATGACGTCAACATCACCACAATTTTCTTTTCCTCTCCTGTACGAACCGACAAGTTCGACCCCCAACGATGACTCATCACCATTCATTTCCGTTACGCATTTTTCAATTATTTGAAATATTTTAATAACTTCCTGTCTAGGAATTTTCTCCGATAAATCTCGATATAATTTCAATCCAATCTCTTGTCTCCTCGTTAATTTTCCCCTCCTTAAATCTTTTAAATTTCTCATTCCTTGGGAGTACCACATTTCCGCCGTGTGGGGTCCCGCTCCCCAAACATTACAAAACATTTTCAATATTTTAGTTTTTTCATCATCTAATAAATTTTCCAACTTATTTATTTTTCCACTTTCTAATACTTCCATTATTTCACTTGCAATTTTTTGTCCGATTCCTGGTATGCTACACGCTTCCTGAAACCGTTACGTCATAGTTTTAGAAAAAGAGAGAGAGATGGTGAGAGTGAGAGAGAGAGAGATGTAAAAAGGATTCACTTGATAAGTTTTGATTTCTTTATCATACAAACTAATTGCACTGATAGCCCTTTTATAACTATAACAACGACTTGTATCGTTTCGTACGTCATAAACATTTTCCAATTTTTCCAATTCTTCAATCACTATTTTATTTTTTTTCACACTGGAAGACGATGACGGAATCACGTGACAACGTAACAAATCCTAAAAAATAACAACAAATGATAATAATAATAATTAAAATTTCCCAAATCAAAAAAAAATAAACATACCAGCTCCTTCCTTTTTGATTTTTTTTTCGGTGGTGACGTCAGCAAAGATGACGTTTCACCAACTTCCATTTCATTTAATTTTTCTTCCCATTTTCTATCCCTGCTATTTTCTATCCCTTTTACGTTAATTTCATAATTTTTCGTATCCAATAAATTTTTCCATTTTAAACAATCGCTCAACCAAGATATTTTCAAATATTTTCCATTATTTTCTTGTATTTTATCCATATTATTATTTTTTAATGCTACCCATGGGAATGAATCCATCATGGAATCTTCTATCAATACGTGTGTCACCAATAAATTGTCATTCGTTATATTTCCACCGTTATCCTTAATACGCTCTTGAAAAAATTTCATTCTTTTTCTACCCAATCCCAACGGAAGTATGTAAAAATTTAAATTATTTAATAATTCTGACATTTTTCCCTCTTTTTTCCTCCCCACTTTTTTAAATAAATTAAAACGTTTATACATATAAATTTCTACGCACCAAGTTCACTTACTTTGTTAGATTTTGTTTATAAAAAATAAAATAAAATAATAATAATAATAAAATAAAAAATAAAAAATTTAATTTTTTTTTTGAGCATTTATTCATATGTTTTAGAATAACGACCGATGAAATTAAAATTAACAACCCCTTTCAAATTGTCACAAATATTATTCGTTAAACAATTTTCAATTTTAGCTAATTCTAATTTAAGCCTCATGAGATCAACTGAATCCTCAATTTGACTTATTTTTTGGTCCAAACAACTCGCTAAACCGTTTATCTCTACCTGTAACCGAAAAAAAAACAAAAAAGAAATTAATAATTAAAAATGATTAAGAAAATCGCCATCTTGAAAAAAAAAATTTAAATTTTTTTCTCACGATATCATCGGGTGTGGCAGTGATACCAGGCAGTGAATTATTAATTAATTTTAAAACGCAATAAATTTCCGTTGGAATTTTTTTCTTCTTATTTTTCAATTCCCTAAGAAACTTTTTCACGTGCTCTATCTATAATAAAAAAAAATAATAATAATTTTTTAATGAGAAAGACAGAGAAAGAGAGAAAAACCTTAACGAACTTTGAGCGGCAGTGCAGCTGTCATCGATGCATCATCATCATCATCATCATCATCATCATCACAAACGTTTTTTTCCGGTTTTAATATATTCGATATAGTTTTTATAATCAAAGTATCGTAAAGTTCTCGATAAATCGATTTCGATACGATTCGACATATTTCGATTCGAATCAACGGATCGTTATTGTTTTCTATCGTAAACCATTCGGATATTTTAACGTGATTTATTTTCGCTTTCAAACTCGAACACGCGAGTCCCGCGAGAGTCGAATAAATCGAATACAGAGAACTCGAACGAATTTTTTCGTCGAGATTTATCCGTACGAGAATTTTAATTAAAATTTCAAAGTTTTCCGATTCGTTCGATTGAGGCAACGACGATTCGTTGGAAAATAAACGAATGAGCGTTTCACCCACCTGCAAACAACGGAAAAATTTTAAATAAGAACGTGCGAATAGAAAGAAAACGATATATCGATTTATCGATCGATAAATCGTTTTAAAATTCACCTTTTTCAAATTGTAATAATGACGATGAGGAAATTTTATATTTCCACATGTTTCCACGACGTTTTCCTTTTTCGATTTATTATAATAATAATTAAAATATTTTTTTAAAAGATTTTCTTTTTTTTTAAAAAAATAATTCGAATCGTTAATTTCGATACCGTAATTAATAAAAATAATCAATATGTCTTCGATTTGTATTTGAAATGATTTGACGTTTAATGCATCGAAACAAGATGACACGAGCGATTCGTCTTCGTGAACGGACATTAAATAAAAAATATATAAACTAATTGATGAGTTAATCAATCCATCATCATCATCATCATCATCTATCAATAAATTTTCCTGAAACAAAAAAAAAAAATGTCAATTTTTCCCTTTCTTCATCTTCTTCTTCTTCACCTTCTTCTTTTTCATATGTTCACTTACAATTTCATTACAGAATAAAAGTTTTCTGAAGGTTTTTTCTGTTAGTAGTACTGAATCATTGTTGCCAAATTTAAATTTTCTCACATCAGGAATAAAATCAGATAATGATATGCTATCTTGATCGAATAATGTAAATGACGAGTCTTTGTTAAAAACTGACAACCATGTTACATTTATCGGAATATTGTTACATTCGATTGAATTGGAATCGAGGCTTTCATATGTTGATACATTTATATTTGGAATATCAATTTCTAAAGTAAATTTTCACAATTATTATTATTATTATTATTATTTGTTTATTAGCGAGTGAATATCGATTTGTTCCAACATGTACGATGAATCGTAAATAAAAAAAAATTCATTCACCAATTTTTCCTAATAGTTTATGAATTTCTTCAAATTCTCCTCTTTCTTTTTCAATGAGTTTAACATTTCTTCTTGCTTTGATTATTTGTTTTGCTGTTTTTTTCAAATTATTTTCAACCTTAAATTATAATAAAATGAATTATCGATAATTATTCGAAAGTTGCATTATTAAAAAGTAAAGCATATATTTTCAAACAAAGCAAATAAAAAAAACACATAATCAATAAATCATGTTTCTTACTTTATTATTTAAATTATTTTTATCAATATTTTCCATTTGAGCTAAATTAAATGAAAAAAAAAAAAAAATTAAAACATAATGTCTGACACCGAAATTAAAGTACACTTTAAATATTTTTTTTTTTTTTTTTTTTTTTACAGACAACAATCATATATAGCAGACTAGTATCACTTTTTTGTACTCAATTAAACATTTAAACTTGAATTTTCTATCATCAACTAATACATTATTATTACTATAAAATTAATATTGTTTTTGTTACTAAAAAAAATATAATAATAATAATAATAATCACTAGAAAAACTTTTTTTTTTTTTAAATCAAAATATTAAACTTTTAATTTTAATAAGGAACTGCGAGAATCAGAATCAGCAGCTGCACTCGGAGCTTCACTGCTCGATTCAGATTCAGATGATGCTCTACTAGACTGTCCAGATTGATCAGACACCAATTTTTTAGCAGGTTTAGGTTTATATTCTGTTATCATAACTGTTATATTATTAACAGTAACTTCTCTCGTTTCAGCAGAATTTCTATCGACATTTTTAAGTTTTCTCAAATGATGTTTTTTCTTGCTTGACCTCCTGTCATTCATAGACTTTTTATCTGATTTTTCTCTCTTATGAGTTTTGGCAGGTGTTGGATTAAACTGTTGAGCAACTTGTTGGGCAACTAATTGGGGATTTATTCTAGGTTTCCTAGTCGATGTTCCTTTCCTTATGTCACACATCAAGCATTTAAAAGCTTCAGCTGTATTCCTATACGTGCAAACACTGCAATCCCAATAATTTTCTTCTAAGGCCTTAGACTGACGTTTGGTTCTCCTGCTTGTAGGACTTTTTTTGTGATCCATAATTATTATATATTTAAATTAAAACTGCCTAAAAAAGGCAGTTTAATTTTATATAAAATTTCATTTTGCTCAGCATTCAAATATTCAATTGTATTTCACGAAATACTTTTTAATAAACCGACTGAATAATAATTTATTTATTTAATATTATTTATATATATATTTTTTTAAAAATATTTATAAATTCTTCAAAACAGGAGAAAAAAAAAGAAGAAGAAGAAGAAGATGATGAAAAAAAAAAAAAAACTTTTAAATAGTTTAAAAAAAAAAAAACAACATAAATAACACTTTAATGTTTATGTGCTCCTTTTGACACAAACACACACACACACACACACAAAGGCGTGATTTAAGAATTATTATCGATTTGACGACAATCGTGGTTAGAAAATTTTAACTATTGCCACGTCAGGCAATGAACTCCCTATAACTTATCGAATGCAATTAAACAAACGGGTTTAATACTACCGTTATATTGCATTCGAGATGATTCTCGAAAAGTAAAACTTTCAACCCTCCCCTCCCTCTCTCTCTCTCTTATGTAATTAAAAAATTTTCACTTTAAACAAACGAAAACAATTTTCTTTATAATATATTTATTATGTTTTTAACTCATTCACATTCTCTTTAAAAAATTAAAAAAAAAATTTTTTAACCTTTCACCGACTTAAGCGTTTAACATTTTTTCTGAGAAAATAAAATCGTCTGCTATAAAGATTTATTAATATTAATAATTTATGTTAAGTGATATTTATTATAAATTTTTTTATTACCGATTTGATTTTAATTTTTTATCATTATTATTATTTATTAAATCTTTATTAATAAAATTAATATATATTATTTAAAAAAATAAAATATGACGATTATTATTATCGATATGTGTGTGTAATCTATGCAAATATAAAAACGTCATTTTTTAATTTTTTTTTTTTATATAATTATTACGTCACACACGCACACACATTTTCTTAATTGATATCGTTTAAAAAATTTAATCAACATCTTTGAAAAGCAAAAAAAAAAAAAAAAAAAGGTGAGATGATATTGATTCTATTTCATAAGAATTAATTTCTAACCTAACCTTGTTAAAAATGATTTTTGGCGGTTTTAATGTTGTTGACAAAAAAGCTACTTTGTGCATAACACACACACACACACACATTGTTTAAATCAATTCAAAGTGTTTTTTTTTTTATATAAAATTTTAAATGGTTGTTGAAATTAATTCATTAAATTCTAAAATGAAAGGTTAAAATGTTATTACAAAAAAAAAAAAGTGAATCGAATATGTTTTTCATGTGTGTAATATTAAAAATTTTTTTCTCATGTCATTACAGTATTAACAAAAATGGATGACGATGAAACGAGAACACCTTGCGAAGCGATGGTAACGGATAGTAACGAAGCATTAGAATTTAAATTAATAAGAGATAAAAATGATTTAAATGATGTTTCATTGGTTTTCAAACCGGTTATGTCACATCAAATATTTAATTTACAAGAATCAATTTACGGTTATAAAAATTTAAAAATCAAATTGTATTTTAGTGCTTCCTATTTAAATCCCTATTTAAACATATCTTATTCTGAAAAAGTCGATCCGGATAAATATGATTGCGTGGAAGCAGATAACATTCATGAAATTTTAACTCAAAAATTAGAAATACCATTAAATGAAAATTTAGATGAATTCATATCATCACTCGATAATGAGTGTCAATTTGTTCCTCCTGGTGAATTGAAAGAATCATTTACATTCAATGTACAAAATCAAGAAGAAGAAGGAGGAGGAGGAGATGGAGGAATGATGCAGAAAACTTATGTTGTGTATTATGGAAACATATTCAGCCCTGGTCTTCTTGCATATCATAAAAAAGTACAAACATTCATATTGTGGTTTATCGATGCTGCTAGTTTTATAGATACAGATGATGAAAAATGGAAATTTTTTTTCATGTTTGTATATAAAATAATAAAAATTGGATTGAACATTTTACTTTGATTAACCTTTGATTAATGTTTTAAAATATTCAGGTTTGAAAAATATAAAAAAAATGGTGAAACCATGCATGCATTCGCCGGTTATGCGACAGTATACGAATATTTTGCTTACCCTAAAAACATTCGTCCGAGAATAAGTCAAATGTTGGTACTTCCTCCGTTTCAAAGACAAGGATTGGGTGCTGCTTTGTTAACATCAATTTACAACCATTATAAAATCATGAGCGAAGTTAAAGACATCACAGGTACAAACATATTTTATGCAGTGGGAAAACCTGAAAAAACAATTATGTAAATATTAATTACTTTTTCTTTTGATTAATTGTAGTTGAGGATCCATCTGAAGAATTACAACTTGTAAGAGATTTTGTCGATTGTAAAAATTGCATGACTTTATCAGTTTTCCAACCTGATTATCTTTGGTCGAAAGGTTTCACATCGGAATTGATACAAGAAGTTGCATCCATATTCAAAATCAACAAAGTAAATATCAAAAAAATTTTTTTTTCCAGGAATGAAATTAACAAATTAAACACACATGAGTGCTGCAAATAATAATAATAATAATAATAATACGTTTCCGTTACAGAAACAAGCGAGAAGAGTCTACGAAATATTAAAATTGAAAACTGTCGATAAGGAAAATGTAAAACAATACAAGGATTACAGAATCGAAGTTAAAAAACGTTTAAATCTACCCAATCAAAACGAGCAGAAAAAATTTAAAAAATTGGAACTTTTTTTAAAACCGCAAGAAATAGCGGAAATGAAAGCGACTTTTTTTCTCAGCGACGAACAACGTCTTTCAAATTTGGACAAATCGTATAAAGAACTCGAAACTCAATACGAAAGAGTTTTGAATCGGATCGCATCACAATAAAAAAATTATCATTATTATCGTTCGACTCCTCCCCGCCCCGCCGCCCCCCCGAATAATGTATTACGAAAGGAATTAAATTGACATAAAAAAATGTCATCCCTTATATCCATTCGTCTTTGTACGAAGGAACGGCGGCGAGGGGGGGGGAGAAACGGAGGGAGTAATGATGATAATGATAAAATATATATGTGTGTATATATGTATGAATGAATGGATGTTGTGATGTGTGCGTGCGTGCGTGCGTGCGTGCGTGCGTGTACGCGTTCTGCTGCGATTTGTTTAAATATAAAAGTCGAGGGAAAAACTTTTTTAGTTTTTATTCGATTTTTAAATGTGTCCGGAGTTTGATGTGTCATTTTCAAATACTAAGACAATTATTATTATTATTATTATTATAAATAATTTTGTGTGCCGTGTCGTGTGTAAAGGAAAGGAAAAAGTTTTTAAGTTTTTTTGTTTTGTTTAAAAAAATTATTTTTTATTTCAGTGATTAATATATATTTTTTTAATATTATTATTATTATTATTATTATTAATTTTTTTTGTTTCTTTTTAAATTGTTTAAACATTTGTAATAATTATATTAAAAAAAAAATTAACAAACGGTTAAAAATTGACTACAACTTTTTTTTTTTTTTTCATATTTAAAACGCGAAACGGTGATGATGACGATGATGATGATGATGATAACTTATTCAATAAAATTCGACGAGAGAAATTTTTTTTTTTTTTTGTTTAATTTAAAAAGTAATTTAAATAAAGTTAAAGTGCGCGTGTAATAATAACTTTTAAAGTTTTAGAAAATTTAGAAAAAATTTAGAATTTAGAAAAAATAATAATAATAATAATAATAGTAGAAAAGAAAAGAAAAAAAAAAGAAAAAAAACCCAAAACCTCCTCGTCATTTTCTTTTTTCCTCATACTTATCAATTATTAACCTACGATCACCATTTTAATCATTTTTTTTTTTTTTTTTTTTAAAGGGACCACAAGTATTTAAATAATAATAATGATGATGATGATTATGATAATTTTTTTTTAAATTTTTAATTTAGAATAATTTGTTTAAGCGAAAATATCCTTTTACGTCATTAAAAAAAAATTAATTAAAGAAAAAGATTACGTGATTATTATCCTACGGTAAATTTATATATAAAACAAAAAAAGGTTTTGAAACGTACATGCGGGTATAGGGGAGGGGGAAAAAAACAACGAAGGCAAAAAAGGTAGAGGGGAAACAAGCCAAAAATTTGACATTTCGAAACTGGAAAATTCAAATTGGTGGAAATAATGATGATAATATTTAAAAAAAAAAAAAAACTTTTCCAAATAGTATATCCTTCTCTCTCTCTGTCTTTCTCTTTCTCTCTCTCTCTCTCTCTCTCTCTTATCCTCTCATTTACAACCCTCGAAATGATAATAAATCCCCCCCCCCCAAAAAAAAAGAAAATTATTTTCTTCATAAAAAAAAAAAAAAAACAAACGATAATGATGATAAGAAATTTTAATATATATATCAAAAATAAATAATTTTCTCTCTCTCTCTCTCTCTCTCTCTCTCTCTCTCTCCTGTATCCCTTTCTCTTTCCCTTGTTATCTTTCTCTCTGCTCTGTATCCCTTTCTCTCTCTTTCTCTTTATTTTTTCTCTCCCCTGTATTCCCCTCTTTCTGTTTTCTCTCTCTCTCTCTCACCTGTATCCCTTCTCTCTCTCTTTCTCTCTTCCCTGTATCTCTCTCTCTCTCTCTCCAAACGTTTGATGTCATGCATGTTATAGAAATAATTATTTCACCGTAAAAATAAATAAATAAATAAATATGAAGTCAAAATTGTTAGATTTGATTTGATAACCCCCCCCCCACGTGTCTTCTCATGTGTTAATTAAAATATAATTTCAAAATTAAAGATTCCGATAATGACGTCATTAACCACTTAATTCCAGTTCGAATCGTTGTCGTCATCGTCTTCGTCGTTTTTATTAATAAATAAATAACTTTAAGGTTTTTTTTTTTTTTTTTTACAACAAATGTTTGCCAATAATAAAACACAAGAACAACAACAAAACTCTAACAAATTAAACATGTCGTTAATTTAAAATTGAAAATTTTTTTCTCGTGTTTTATTAAAGCAAACAAAAACGAAAACGACGACGACGATCGTTTTCTTTCCCCCACCTCCCCTTCATACCTGCCTGTGACGTAAAAGGTAACATCAATATTACGACGGTAAGTACTTGATAAGTTTTATTTCGAGAAAAAAAAAAAAAAAATTTTCAGGTACAGGCACGACGATGACGACAACAAAAAAAAAATCACGGGTAAGAAAAAAAATTTTAAAAAAAAACTTACCTTACGTGACCTTGAACGTTTTCCTTCCATCGCATCCACCGCCGCCATCTTGTTTTCTCCTCGTTCGATCTGTTTGAAAAAAAAAATTTTTTTATTATTTTTTTTTTTTAAAGATTTACCAGGAGAGGAAAAACGTTTAAAAAAAAATCAATCGTTGAGAGATGAAATTATTAATTTCGTATTAGGAAGACGACGACAGGAGGGAAAGTTACTACAACGACAGGATTTATTTGGAAAAGTCAAAAGAAATCCTGCTTGTTTTAGAAAATGCGTCGAACAAGGATTTTTACATCCCATTCAATGTCATTCATTATGTTAATTATATATATATTTCAAACGAGAAGAGAAAAAAAAAAAAAAATTTAAGGTACTACTACTCGTAATACGACAAAAAACAAAACAACAACCAACCAATCAACAAACGACTAAAACATAATAATAATAATAATAATAATATAGAAAACAAAAAAATGTTTTTGTTCTTGTTATCAATATTTTTAACGGGTAATTTAATGTTTCAATAAACATTTTCAAAAACGGTTTTATTTCCGTTTTTTTTTTTTTTTGTACGAAAAACTGTTTTCCTTTTCAAAGCCGCCATTTTGATTTCAATTATTATTATTATTATTATAGGACGGAAAATGTCGCGATGATGATTCAATCGTTTTTTAAACGTATAAACTAAAACAGTTAAAATAATATTTCACTGGAAAAATTTTTTTTTTTTTAAATAATAATTATCCGATAACGTATACGTTTTTATCGCGAAAAATTATTATTATTATTATTATTATTATTATTACCATTATTATTATTATTATTATTATTATTATTTTGTTTTTGTTTTTCCAACGAATTCGATAAAATAAAAAAAATTTTCGATATTTAAATCATATTGAAACAACGGATCCATTACTCAATCCACTAACTACTTTGCCCCGTTGACGTAATCACGTGACGACAACGTCATAAACGTTCCGGAACGTTTCCTTTTTTTTTTTAAATTTTTGAAAAGTTTCGATTCTGCCACGTCAAATTAACGGTTCCCCGCGTTACTTATTGTTTATTATATAGTTTTTATATATTTTTCGTTTTCTTCCCCACCCCCCCCCCCCCGCGTCGTTTTTTTAACTTTAATTTTTTTGTGATCCCTTTTTTTACAAAAATATTATTATTATTATTAAACATTCGAAGAATTTTTATCATTTTCGAATATATATAAAAAAAAAAAGAAAAAATTAATTTCAATTTCAAATTTCTAAATGCGGACATTTTTTTAATTAAAAAAAAATATCATACGCATATTATTATTATTATTATTATTATTAGTATTATTATTATTATTATTATTATTATTATTATTATTATTATTATTATTAAATTCTCATTAACATAAAATACCAACATTTTTTTTTTTGAATTTAATAAATTTTTTTTCTCTCTCTCTCTCTTTCTCTCTCTTTCACAGGTACGATTCCAACAGAAGAAAAAAGAAAAGAAAAACGTGGAAAAAGAAAAAAAAAAAGAAAATTTCATCATTACGAAACTTCCGTAATCTAATTATTGTAGAAAATAAAAAGTAGTTAAATATTGTTTTAATAATAATAATAATATGTATAACTCTCGGAAAATTTTTCTCAATGATAATAATAATAATAAATTGATATAATGTAGAAAAAATTTTTTTTTTTTTTTATCAACAACTTGACCGACGACAATACCAAAATAACAAGAAAAGGATTTTTTTTAAATATAACCTTAATAAGATCATTAAATCATCCGACATATTATTATTATTATTATTATTATTATTATTATTATTATTATTATTATTTATATTATTACGTCATTACGGCCAAAAGAAGAAGAAAAGAAAATAATTGAACCGTATCTTGTAATTTTTTTTTTTTTTTCATTATATATAACTTGTTTATTCTCTAGTGGGAAATTTTTTTTTTTTTATGTTGTCGTTACTGTTGTGTGATAACTGATAAAAATTTTCCCTTTTTTATTTTATTTTATTATTTTTTTTCCCTTTTAATTTTAAATAACGATTTGTTTGAACCGTTGTATTATTATTATTATTATTATTACGTTTTTCCGTTACTACGTATTCATGTTGATAATAATAATAATAAATATATGTATGTTGAATATGTATTAATAAATTTATGTAAGCATGAGAATTTTTTTTTTTTTTTACATGAGTTTATTTATTTTTTTTTAAATTGAAATTTTCCTGTTGTGAATTTCTCTCCACCCCGCCCCCACGCCTTTTTTTTTGTTAACCTAGGAGAAATGCATTTTGCACTAACTTTTCTCCACCCGGTAGCAGGGATATTGTGGGGGACTCGGCCGAAACCATTACCCAACTAAAACTCCTGGACGTATTTCCGGAGGGAGGGGCGCTTGCAGAAGTACAACCTGCACTTCAGGTTCAGCCCCCTCTTTAGCCATACCCATCAGGTTCACACACTCGCGAAAGTAGAAATCCCACCTGAGGAAGATCCCGGTACTTCCTCTTTTTACCCTTCGAGAGACAGTCCCGATCTGTCATTATCGTTCCTGCCTCTTCCGCAGAATCTGCGAGTTTCCAGAGTTTCACATCGCAGCTTCGCATTTTCCCTATTTGGATCAAGTACCCAGTTTCACCC